TTGAGTTTAATTTTTAATTAAAATTAACAACAATAGCAACTACTTTAAGCCACAATAAATTTATCTTGTAATGACCCCCCTGGAGCAACACTTGACACAACTACATTTTGTAATTAACATTACTGTGTATTTACAAGAACGTTGCTTGTGGCCATGCTCTTGTTCAATGGTTAAGTGCCAAAAGAGGAAACAGAAGACAATTGTTTTTGACACTTTACCACTTTTGAACTTTACTCGAGGAAATGAGAAAGTTATTATTTTAAGGGAGTTATCTGTGCTAATTTCGGCCAATTCAATGTAAACATTTAACAATAGATAATAAATAAGGAAGGAAATATTGAAGTGTAGTATGATGTTGAAAAATTTTTCATCCTCTTCTTCTTTTGTAATGTGTATGTATTTAAATAAAAGTTATTTTCTAATTAGAATATTAAAGTTGTAGATCTATTCGAATTCAGTTGTGTTATTTTATAATTCCAAAAAATTACCAAGAATATTCATCGGATTAATCGTATCATAAAATGCAGTGTAAATGTGTCTTTGAGGTAATTAAATTGGACTTACCATAATATCTTTTCGTTGGATATTTTGTTAGTGGTTTCCGCAACTTTTAAAAATTGTTCCACAAATTATTTTTATAATTTCAAGATTTTTGAATACACTTTTTACATACATATTCCTTGACTTTACACATTCTCCTGAAATCATTTTCTTAGTTTCGAATTTGTTCAGCCGAATCGATTATAACTGATCACATAAAAACAATATTTGAAATTAATCCCGTACATATCATAATAAATTGATGTGTAAAGTTCAATTTGACTTTGAATTTAAATTGTTCCCGAATAAATTACTACTTCACAAAGACACACTTGTTTGATGCTTGTGACGGTGGAATTTTGATTTATCTGTAAAAATTAAAAAAAAAAAATATTTTTTTAAAACTGTTTCCGTAATAAAAAACATGGACTTACCTTCTGATCAATTTATTGTGTGATAGTTTTGGGATATGCACTTCCTAATTGATCCGAATTATTACAATTTAATGGTTTAGAATTAATTCTTTAATTCTCAATATTTGAATATCATATTTAGTTCTTTTTTATAGAATTGTTTGTGTCTGAAAAAAACAAGTATGTCGTTGAGTTATAGTTTAAAAAAATTAATAGATACAAGGTAGTTTTTTTGTATTTGTTTGTACTTAAAATGGTACTACAAAAAAATCTAAATATCAATAGAAATCATTTTTTATTCGAAATCCAATATAATCATTGGTTGAGAAAGTGCAAAATTTCCATCAAAACCAAGGAAAATGAACAATGTTGGCAACGCTGCTTAAATTTTTGGTATGTTGTTGTCCCCGATAAATATTATATGGAGAAGGTTTGAGTTCTTGCTAGATGTACATATTTATTGTTGCCATATCTACATATAGTCAACAAATCTCACAAATGGTTAATTCAATCCTAAATTTCATTTGTTGTTTTTTTTTTGCTGATACAATAAGAAATGAAAGTGGAACAATAACACTGTGACACATTTTCAACATGAAAATCTTGGACCAATCGGGACCGCCAAAATCTGTAAGCTTATGATCGTAGAAGAAAACACCTAGCTGGGTTTTTAATTTTCGACCCAAACCCTAGATTAAATTCAAATTTGGAACAGATTGGATTATTAGTTTTTGAGTTATCGTGCCGGCCATTTGTAAAAACACTGTCTCGAAATAAACGCCTTGAACGTTTGAGAAGCTCTTCTGACGTCGCTGACACAATAAATCGAGTATATTTGCAAGAGTTGTTGAGGTTTGATATCCACAAGGTTCGAGTTAAATAGAAAATAAAAAAAACTTTTTTTTACCGATCGTCATATCACGACTAGCTGAGTCGATCTAGACATGTGTGTCCGTCCGTATGTCCATTATAATTTGTAAACACGATACAGGCCACAGTTATGGACCAATCTTCACGAAATTGTACATGTAGGATGGGTTAATGCCAATGAAGACTCCTGTTGTTTTTGGTAAAAATCAATTAATATTTAGGGGTTGAAATAAACCAAAAACTTTATTTTTGTCCGATTTTCTGATCGCTCCACAGTCCGCAACTATGGCCCAAACGTCGCAAAACTTTACATGGGCCGGAGAAAAAGCGTGCCTGTTTTTGATAATGATCTGTCAGTATTTAGCGGGTGAAATGGACCCTCACTTTTTGGTGAAAAATGACAAAATTTGTATTCTGTTGTGTATATATTTACCCCTGAAGGACACAGGCCCGAGAAGTTGATAGTATATCCAAGAGGAGTGGTTTACCCTTAAATTGATATCAATTATATTGTCTGTATTCGGATGTGGGAGTTACACTTAAATATTTACAGGTGTTTACGTATTCAGATATTATTTAGTAGCCCATTACCACACTAGAGGGCGGAAATATAGCCCTGATTGCTTTGAAATTTTCCATGAGGTTCCAATTATGCTCAATGGTTCCAATTATGGTTATGGTTTAGGATGGAATGGACCAAAAACTTAATTTTTTGTGTTTTTTAATCTATAGGCCACAATAATAACCCGAACATCACAATACAGCCCACGGCGAAGGGAATGTGGAAAAGTAATTAGAAGCGCTATACTGAATATTAGTAATATTCGGAAAAAATGTCGGTGTAAGGAAAAGGTGCTGTTGACCTCTATCACGAAATATTGCCCAGGCTCCGAAAAACATTAGAGTTCCGTGGGAGTTGTGCAAGGTATCATATTGTCGGCCCCGTCAGACTATACTGCTCCGCTCACTGGATTTTAAATATCCTTAAACTTCACTTTGGAAATTTTACCACAGGTAGCCCTTCTGATGCTGGTCACGATGTCATTATGCTTTCCAAAGTTATGACAATAAAATGCTAACGCATTTTAAACCCTGGTCCAATTCGTTGGTGATCTATGGTTGGTAGGGCTAAAAATTAATAAAACCGGTAGTCTCCATCTTTGAATTTAATCTAATTTTAGAATATTCCTATTTGTAAAAAAGTAAAGTAGCCGATTTAGTACTCCCCGATTATTCATTCTGGCAAGGTGTATACATCCTCACTACCCTTAATTTATTTATTTAATATTTTATAAAAAGTAATCGCTATTAATTATTTTCATCTTCTCAGACTTTTCATGTTAAAACCCGTGGTTGGTATAATATTGGTTATAATTTCCTAATTGGCTGTGATGGCAATGTATACAAGGGACGAGGCTGGGGTGTGGAGTGTGCAACACATTTCGTTATAACATATTTTGAATAGAAGTAGCTTCATTGGAACTTTTATGCATAAGCTGCAGACACAACGGGCATTGAACGGGCCTAGGAAGATGGGATCCATTAGTTGATCTAGGCTTGGTATAGATAATAGGCTGCGCAAGGTTTGCTGCAAATAGAACATTCCACTTGCCAGAAATTGAAATTATAAATAGTGAAACCCTCTGTGGGGGAGGTAACAAAATGAGTGAACCAATGGGTCCCATTTTCGGACTTGATCTAGGTTTGGTAAAGATAATATCGCTCATTTGCTGCAAGACCGATATAAATCAAAAATCGTTATTTTTGAGTTAATGATGTAGAATTGTTCCCTATATCAGACTTCATATTGTGTATAAAATTCAGATGATTATGTCATACACACTCTAATTGAGAAGCTTTAGAAGTTCCTCTGTCCCATATAAAGTGTGAATAATTTAACAACTTAAAACACATTTTCTGCAAAATCGGCAGCAAATGAGCGATATGTTGTGCAAGGTTTGTTTCAAATTGGAGAAATAATTCGCCTGAATTTGGACTTAAAACTTTTGAAAATTTTGAGCCTTTGTTTAGGAGTTACCAAAAGGAGTGAACCAATCGATCCCATCTTCCTACTTGATCTAGGCTTTGTAAATATAATATGTTTTGCAAAGTTTTGTTCAAATCGGATGGTCCGATTGCATGATATAAAATTTATTTTTTGCACAATTTTGAACATCTTTGAACTTGAATGTCCGTCACAGATGGACGGACAATTGTAAATCGACTCCAAATTTTCTGAAACGGATTTAGTCCAAAGAAACATGGGGTCTAAAATCAATATTTCCATGAGGCACATTTCCATCGTATAAAAGTGTATATACCCTCATTAACCATAAATCTGAGGACATGAAAAATTCTGTTCGTAGCACATTGTTCCAACAATCCATAGAATTTCTTTAATCTTCTGCCTACAATGAAATATTTTGTTATAATCATTAGCAAAAGATCAACTTATGGTAACAATTTGAAAATATTTTTTAGTTTTGCTCCTCGTAAAGTAAATTTGTTCCCAATTTTTCCACCAAACGCAAAAAGGTCTTTATATCCCGACTAGCTTCGGAAATTTGGATTTCGCCCAAGGAGTGCCTTAACTTCCTCGTCAATATTCGGTAAAAGATTGGCATGCCCAAATTGTTAAAATACTACACACACATACAATTACATACCGTTACTTTTTTAATACAGCAATTATGCGTAGTTTTTCAAGAAACTATGACGCATTAATACCAGAATTCCATTTCACGAATATGTCTTTAACTATTTCACTATTTACTTCAATTATATATTGATTAATAACACTGTAATTTTATAAAAAATGTTACGACTTAAATTAAAAGCAACCGAACGCGAAAACATTTTCTTATTTGACTGTCATTTTGGTGGGGAATCGGTAATCGATAACAACGTTTATTTACAGAAATTTAATAATTGAAATAAACTATAATATTAATAACAATTGTATTAATGATTTAATAATTTATATAAAAAATCAGAAAATTAAATTATTTACAGATTTTAAATGTTTGTTTAGTTGGAATAACAAAAATATGTTTATCTGCTCGATAACAGAAATATCGATTTTAAATGGTTTCTCACCAAAAGAAAAAAAATAACCACAATTCAACTGTCCAATATTCGGGTATTTGATATTTTCACATCTTTGGCACAATTGAGAATTTTCTTTGACAGACTACACGAGCTGCCGAAATTTTGCAAAGTTTTACTTCTTTTGTGAAAACTCTAAATTAAAGAAAAAACTAATTCAGCAAAATGACTAACGCCTGGAGAGCTGCTGGCCTTACGTAAGTAAATCGAAAATTAAAATGGAGAACAACAATTCCAAAAGTTGACATAATAATTGAAGAAAAAACAAACAGAAATTACGTAATTTACGTCATAGTTTGTTGAGGCGGCATTACGTCTAGGATAATATTCAACAAATTGTGGAAGATGTAACTAACATTGGTTTTCATTTAATTTTCCAGCTACATCCAATACTCCAACATCTGCGCCCGTGTAGTGCGTCAGGCTTTGAAATCCGACTTGCGTGCCGAGGCTGCCAAGCGTAACGAAAGCCATGTCAAGTTCACACCATGGGCTGATGGCAAACCTGCCCGTAAGTATCAGCTATAAATCAAATATAATATATATTTATTAAATATATAATAAAACTAATTCTTATATATTTCTATTTTTATAAAAAAAATAATTATATGAATATTACAGATGAAAAGTGAGATCTTTAGAAGTCACCATTATGTGTCTTTTTAAAGAACCTTTTCGTAGACATATTGTAAGTTCTAGATATATAGAGTGTTTCGTGTATAGTTCGTTCCCCAACAAGAAGTGTTTGGATATATCAGTCAACTAACAATATGTCACAGTCCCAAATGATAACTATGTGTGCAATATCCCAAAATTATTGCAGCAATCAGCTTTATTCACAGTTCCGAATTGTAACTACTGTAACTGTTCAATACCCAAAAACAAAAAAGCAACTTCCTATGTTGAAACCCCATTCCCACAAAACATTGCTATTTTCCGAAAATAATTATTTCTACTATGAATGTTTTAAGCAAATATTGGCCTACTCCAATAGGATATGATAAAATTGGAAAATATGCGAAAACATAAAATTGATTTGGTTGGAATGTAACTACTGTAACTGTTCAATACCCAAAAACAAAAAAGCAACTTCCTATGTTGAAACCCCATTCCCACAAAACATTGCTATTTTCCGAAAATAATTATTTCTACTATGAATGTTTTAAGCAAATATTGGCCTACTCCAATAGGATATGATAAAATTGGAAAATATGCGAAAACATAAAATTGATTTGGTTGGAATGAGCAAAAATTAAATTAAAAACAATTCCCATAAATAATCACAACAGACTAATAATTTAATATTAGGACTCTTTTTTAATAGCAATCAACCCTAGTTTTAAATTGTTGGGAATTCACATTTCCCAAAATGTTAATGTATTCCCAAATTCAAATTAAAACAATTCTAAATTTAATTTCCTAAAATCTTCCTTTTTTGAAACCATTAAACTTATGACATTTGTTTCCTTATTATCTCCTCTCCTTCCGGAATTATGGCATTTCTGTCTTGTTCATTTGCAACAAAACCCCTCAATTGTTCATTAAATTTTCTACAAATTTATTTTTGTTTTATTTGTTAGTATTTATGTTTTTCAAAAAAAAAAAATTATTCCTCTCCAAAAAAAAAACTAACAGAAAATATCTCTAAAAACTGAATTATTGTTGACTCCCCAATTTTTTTCCTCAACAACAACTAACAGTGAAAAAATCTATAAACAGTTTTGTCAATCTCTGCAACTTATTTGTTAAAAATATTCATTTTTATTTAATTTTTTTCTAATATTTCTTGTTTTTATTTCTCTTTTTGCAGCTCGTGCTCAAGCCAGCGAATAAATTTAATCATATTTGTATTGGTTAAATATCTAAAATTCCATCATCAATTCTTAATTCAATGTGTTAGCAGCGGATTTCAAAATAAAAAAAAATACAAAATCTAATTTACTTTTCAAAATGTTAATGCTCTAAGCAAAAAATAAATAAAACACAAAAAATTATCGAAAAAAAATACCCAACAATCTTATATTTATTTTTTTTTTAATTTCTTAACTTAATACTGGGAAGGCAACATATATTTTCACAGCATCTGGTTAACATCATTGGCATAAACAACAAATGCACTCAGTACTAGTACATATACATTTTTGTTAAATATATATTTACTATATAAATATTATATAATTACTCCCCACAAAAAAACAAATTGTCATCTTCACTCTCTTTCGTGTCATTTTAAATTCGTTGTCCCCTCGGTTATGCTGCTTTCATTTCGATTATTGTAATAAGTGAAAAGCTCTTCCGAATCACCATCATAGAAATGCTCCCAAGTCTTAAGTTCGTCGCACAGTACAGCGCCAGGACTAGCCGTGCTCATAAATTGATTATGGGCCATTAGTTTGAAATTTTTTGTTAAATGATCTTCATCGACACCTCTGTAAAAAAAAATAAAATATTGTTGCATTGATGAAATTTCGATTTGTTATTTACCTTTTAAGTAAGTTTTTGCAGGCGTTCAACGCTCGTTGTGTCGGCAGCTTGTGCATAAATGTTCCAATAAAAGCTACTGCTATTGAAAATCTGTTGTAACGAAATGTGTGAGCACCCTCCACACCCCAACCTCGTCCCTCGTATACATTTCCATCACAGCCAATTAGGAAATTATAACCAATATCATCCCAACCTCGTGTTTCAACATGAAAAGTCTGAAAAGATGAAAATAATTAATAGCGATTACTTTTGGTAACATTTGTATGAAATCCGGCAAAATTTTATATGGGTGATATATGTAAATCTGAATCGATTTCAATAAAACTTCACACACATCAAACTGGACTAAATTGCGTACACTGTGCAAAATGTTGTCCCGATCGGGCAACTATTTTCAGTTTGATGCACGATTTACCTCAAATCGGACGAAACAATATATGGGAGCTATATCTAAATCTGAACCGATTCCAACAAAATTTCTCATACATCAATCTGGACTCAAGTCAGTACACTGTGCAAAATTGTGTCTCAATCGGACCAATATTGACAGTATGGTGCTCCTTTTGTATAAAATCGGACGAAACTATATCTAAATCTGAACCTGGACCTATGTCAGTACTCTGTGCTCCATTTGAATTATGGGAGCTATGTCAATCTAGAACTAATTCAGTACTCTGTGCACCATTTACCTAAAATCGAACACAACTTTATATGGGATCTATATGTAAATCTGAACCGATTTTCTCCAATTTCAATGGGGTTCGTTCTTGGACCAAATAAGTTACTTGTGCGACCTGTACTTTGTTTACAATTTAACATGAACAGACGGACATGCATAAATCGATTCTATGTATATTCTCAAAATGAACCATGAGTCTATCTCGATTCCTTTTGCGGGTTACAAACATATGCACAAAGACATAGAGTAACTTCGGGTAATGTGGACCATGCGTCAAATGTGGACCACCCCCCATATCTAAGAAAATGCTTGAAATATGTCAATGCCGCCTTGATAAATGTTTTCCTAATTAGCGAAAACAAACATCACACTTGGTTTTTAATAAATAATTGCAAAGTTGAAAATTTAGTAGTAGAAAATGTAGCTCTGATTGTAAAAGTGTGATTTGAAAATTTTTTAGCACAATAGTCGAACGTTTTTGCAAAATAGTCGAACACTTGTTTTTTCTCGAATGTAAAGAAGTTATGTGGTTTTCTTGTTTTCTTTAACAAAAATCTACGTTTTAGCTGTAATTACAATCGGTGATTTTTAATTTTTATTCATTTTTGAAGCCGATAATTATTTTTAAATAAAAATATTCAATGTCGGGTAATGTGCACCACTATAAAAAAGTGGGACCTTTTCAGGGGCCGAGTTCGAAACGTGGGTGAATTTAATATGCGATGAGGTATTCTATCCTCTGAAAACTCGATATGCGAAATTACAGGTGCTTCGGTTGGATAAAGAAGCAAGGACCTTCAAAATACCGCAAATGGGGCGGTACCCTTAAATGGGGGCTATTCCAAAACATGAACCCATATATTTTTGCATTCATTGTTACCCAAGAGTGTAATAAATTGAAATTTATCACAACCAAACCACAACCTACCTTTAACATACTGATACTCATTTCCCACACATACTGGTCCACATTACACGCCAAGTTATTTTTATTTGCAGCTTACAGTTTTTTGAAATATAATGCAATAACATTTTTATAGACAAATATATATAATTTTTGACCTGGAATATATTTAGCCAACAAATCTACTATGTTGTGAAAACAATTTGTTTTCAGTTTTTACCGTTGGTACGCCCACAATATCAAAAAAAGAAAATGGTGGTCCACATTACCGGAAGTTACTCTACTACCCTGTACTACAATGTGGTTAAGGGTATACAAATCGGGGAGTACTAAATCGGCTACTTTCCTTTTTTTGCAAATTCGATCGGGACTTTATATAGGTAGTTTGTTAATGCTCCAAATAAAGTGTTCCAAATTACTGACACACATTTTTTATTCGCCTGGAATCCGAATTGCCAATTGGTTAGCCACTTCCATGAGAAAATTCGGTTGAAGCGGAATTTTTATGTGAGTTTATATCAAAACTTCGACCTATATATACTCCACACAAATTGGAATATAATTCAGCCTACCAGAATCCTTTATACCTCTATTACTGCCCCATCGGTTGGAAAATGCAGCTAACGTCTTCAAATGATCGGAAACGGGATGGTTCCGTTCTATGGGAGCTATAATAGCCCGTAAACTAATCTATATAATTTCTGGTAGGAAGATTTGACACCCCATAAGAATTTAATAAACCAATTTAAAGCGAATTCGGTTGAAAAATATATCCAAGCCCCCCAAAGTTCCGAATAATGGATGTACCATTATATGGGCGCTAACCGGAAACATGAGCCAATATTGAACACTTTTAATAAATAGATTTTCTTCTCAATGGAAATCCAAAATATAAAATTACACTAATTTGGTGGAAGCACTTGTCTAAGCTCCCCAAAATGCCGAAGTTTGGGATGTAGCGTTGTATGGGGGATTTCCTTAATAACGTGAACCATTATTTTTTTTTTATGTTTAGTAGCAAGATTTAACACCCATGAGAACCTGAAAAATCAAAATAGAGCCAATTCGTTTAAAAAAGGCGCCCAAGTACGCCCCAAAAACCAATTATATGGGGGCTACCCGAAAAAAAGGGTCAATGTTGATCATTTTTGATGGGAACATTTTCTACTCATTGAGAATACAAAATATAAAATTGCTACCAAATTGTTTGAAACACGTGATCAAGTTCCCAAAATGCCGATCTTTGGGGTGTAGTATTATATGGGGCGTCCCTAAAAGATTACTACCATACCACAACCCAAAATAAGAAATTAGAAACATATGCACAAAACCATTAAAATACCGAATATTGGGGGTACCACTTTGGGACCACCCCGAAACACACGCCAATATTGAAAACTTTTTTAGGTAGATTTGATAGCCAAAGTGAATCCAAAATACCAAATTACGGCTGTTTCTGCGGAAAAATGTGTCTAAAAGCCCCAAAATACCGAATAATAGCGCGTACCCTTATATGGGGGCTACCCTAAAAAGTTGACCAATATTGAACATTTTCGGTAGGAAGGTTTGATACCCAATGAGAATCAAAAGTAGCAAATTACAGTCAATTCGGTTGAAAACCCTAAAAAGTTGACTAAAAAAGTTGACTAATATTGAATATTTGCGGTAGGAATAGGTACAGTTGATATCCAATGAGAGTCATTCGTATCTTTACAGCCACTTCGGTTGATACTTAATATTTGGGAGTACCGTTATATGGGGACTATACCAAAACGTGGACCTATATATCCCATTTTCAATACCAAAACTAGGAGTAATGCCGATTTATGTGAAAAATTTCAAATTTCTATCTTAAATATTGCAATCTCTATTGTGATTTCACATGCGGACCGATGGATATGCATTGACATTGAATTTTAATCCTGATCAAGAATATATACTTTATGGGGTAACCAGTTTATATTTCGAAGTTTTGCAAACGGAATGGCAAATTTAACATACACCACACCTTGAGGGTATAATAATAACGATTCAAATCAGATTACAAATGTGAAAAATATCGTAAATACCTGTATATCACGAATAATACCAATATTTTTGGCTTGCTCTGTTGAATCAACTGTAGCCGTATGACCTAAAATGAGAAAATCAATAAATCATTTAAAAAATACTTAAAACAATTCACAAAAACAATTCAACTTACAAATAATAACTAAATCTGTTGGTACATCAATGGGATTGTAGGGTTCAATTGGAGCCATTGCAAGCCAACGATCCCGCGATATTATAAGACAGGCAGGTCGATACACTAAAATAAAAACACACACACACACAAAATTTAATCAATGAGATCATATTGAAAAAAGACACAAATCACCCACCTGGTTTCTTTTTAACTTCAATTTTCCGTTCTGGTCTCAAGTCGGGCGGATTTTCGTCATTATTTTCAGACATGTCATCTGCTGCTGTTGTTACACTACTACTATTACCATCTTTATTAATTATAATATTGCCATTGATTTTAATAATATTTCCCATTACAACACTATTTGAATTTGAAATGCTAACATTGCCAAATGATGGTGGTGGCATTTTGCTAACAAGTTGAGTTAATTTTTCTAAATCTGGACATGTTGTGCTCAGCTGGGTTATATCTCGGTAGGGTTTTTCATCTGTTGCTAGAAAATAAACATAACTTTAGTTACTCTCAAATTCGTTGATTGACCTTCAATACTTTTGACTACAAATGTAATAAAAATCACAACAACAACAAGAGTCAAAGATTTGAAGCGCAACCAGTATTAATTCCAAACACATTTCACAAAAAATCCAATTAAATATTTTTATTATTTTGTAGATATTTACCTGATATCTTGTCTGATATCCATGTACCCAAGGCATGTTCTTCACCTGATTCCGAATCGCTGGAAGACTCAATAATACTCGACTCGACAATAGAATCTACCACCGAACATGTATCTGAATCCTCAAGTTCTATGGAATTTACCCAATTGCGGGTATTTTCCTCACTAATTCGCAGACGATCATTGGCATTCATTGTTATGGTACTGCAGTTAGTCTTGACTTGGATGGAGAAATTTCTTCCGCATTCCCTGTTTTTTCTTGTTTCTTATTATCTTATCATAACTCCCAATTGATCGAGTCAAGTGGCCGCAAGAGATGTTCTTGTTTGTTTCGGGATTTAGTGATTTAGTATAATTTACAAATGCATCGATTATAAAATATAGAGAGCGAAAAGTTGTTTCGAAATCTGATCGGAAAATTATTGGTTTTCTTTTCCACCAGTTCTTGCAATTTTAAAGTATCTCGCAATTAAAAAAATCTTAATCTCTTGTTTATAAAAACTAATTGGAACATAACAGGGCGACACAACATTTCTTATCAGATGCTGATTACCGAATACATGGATTGCAAGAGCAACTTGATTATTTTGACAGTTCTCAAAAAATGATGCCAAGTTTTGTAATGTAACGTATTGATATAAACGAGAAATACATTCGTGCCCCATCATGTTTTACTTACATATCGTATTTTATAGGAAAATAGGGGGAATTAATTTAAGTAATACCTTTTAGAAAATTTTAAAGTTCAAATTCAGTTCGTTTAGCTAAAATTGCGACCAGTAATATATTCATTATGGAAACAAAATTCGATGCCGATTTATGCGTGTCCGTCTGCCTATCTGTTGAAACCACGATAGAGATAGCTATATTTGAGATAGAGCTAAGATGGTTGGTATTGCAAATGAGGCAATTTCGGTCCACGTTTTGCTATAGCCCCCATATAACGGTACCCCACAAATATTCGGTATTATGGGGATTTTTGACACGTTTTTCACCGAATTTTGTTCTCATTGGGTATTAAATGTTCCTGCCGAAAAGGATCAGAATTGGTTCACTTTTTTCGATAGCCTCAATACCCCCATAACCCTCATTATTCAGTATTTTGGGGATCTTTCGACTCGTTTTTCAACAAAATCAGCTGTAGATTTGTATTTTGGATTCATTTTGGCTATCAGATCTACCTACGAAAAATTATCAATATTGCCTTATATTTAGGGATAGCCCGAATATTCGGTATTTTGATAGGTTTGGTACTATTTTCTAACTAATTTCTTATTTTGGGTTGTCTTACTAAAAATAATCAATATGGGTCCACCTTTTAAAGAAGAGACCATAACATATTACACCCCAAAGATCGGTATTTTCGAAGCTTAATCGATCAACTATTGAATACCTCAGATTCTAATTTAGTAGAAAAAGTACCTACCAAAAAATTATCAATATCGGTCCATATTTATGGGGTTTTTGGCGCGATTTTTAACTCTAATTTCATTTTTAAGGTTCTCATGGGTGTCAAATCTTTTTATATTTTGGATTATCATTGAGTAGAAGATTTCCCTACCAAAAATAATCAATATCGTAAGGGTACACCCATTTTTCGTTATTTTGGGGGTTTGGGCATGTTTTCAACCGAATTCGATCTACTTTAATTTTTCAAATTCTTATGGGGTGTCAAATTTTCCTACCATAAAATTATCTATGTCAGTTTACGGCTTGGTATAACTCCCATAGAACGGAACCATCCCACTTTCGGCATTTTGAAGACTCCAACCGTAATGTAATTTGGTATAAAAGTTCTGGAAGGCTGACTTATGTACAAAATTTGTGGAGTGTATATAAAGGTCCATGTTATGGTAAAACCTCAACTAAAATTCTACTTCTTTTTCGGTATTAATACATTTGAGATATCGAATTCCTGGTGAATAAAAAATAAATTAAAAAAGTCCCGTTTGAGTTTTCCAACTAAAGTGTCCCTAATTTGGAACACTATTTTTCGGAGCATGAACAATCTACTATCACTCATCATCACATAACACCATAAAATAGAGATGAAAGTAGGGCTTCGAATTAGCCTTCTGTGTTAGCATCAAATGACGGCATATGGGCTTCTCAAAAAGGGTTTAAAAACTGGTTATTTTTGCCAAGTCTAAGTCTTAACATTGCTTAGGATCTGTTTGTGGTCTATTCCGGAAAAGAATGCTAGGTTAATAATTGTTCTGCTACTTAGCGATGGAAACCTACAGAGTAGATGTTCAATTGTTTCTAGCTCTTCCTCACATAGATGGCAATAATCCACTCCGTTAATGTCTCATTTGGAAGTTAGAAATCTAATCTTGCAGTGACCTGTTATCCCCACAACAATTTTAATCTCCCTTCCTACTATGAGGCAATAGCGAAGAAGTTCTACGGCGAGAGAATTCTGGTCAGATGGTTTTTGAAAACCTGCATCCAGGTTCACATGACCATCTGTTGCCAACTACCTCGCAGTAGCTCAATAAAGTAGCCAATGAGATTGGATGACTGTAAATCCCCTCGAGCAAGTTCATCGGATATCTCATTCACTTCTTTGTTGCTATGTCCTGGAACCCAACATAATTTAACCATCCGTCGTATATAGTATAGAGCATCTTTGCAATCACGTACCGCTTTTGAGTTGATAGTGCACGAATTTAGTACCTTAAGGGCCACCTGGCTATTGACATATATAGTCACCGGTCCTATGTTATCGGCAATAAGTGTTTTAACTATTTCAGCCGTTTTCGTGGTTGCCAGAATTTCTGCCTGAAAAACGCTTCAAAGATCGTAAAGTTTATATTTATTATAACGCCTGCATCAGTACCTCCCTCCATCTTCGACACGTCTTTAAATATCGACAAACCGGTCAGAGATAAGGAGCCACTTGTCCAGTATTCTCTACTAGGAAACTCTACTCTGATGTCATTAAAGTCATTATGGGAGGGAATATAATCGGGTATATGTGAATATTCCTCTCCAAAGGGTCAGAATGTGTTTCGTGAGATGCGCGTAAGGCCATCGTGAGATGGCGGACATGATAACTCCTCACTGGAACATCGGAATCCGAAAATTCCAACGGTGTTAGAAAGAGCACATGTCTGTCTCTCGTATGAATTAGGATTATTGACTTCGCTCTAAAATTAACAAAATGGAGGACCTTTGAAAAAAATTTTGGAAAATCGCCGATTTTTTAGCAAAAACCAAGTTAAAAAATATGGAAGATCTTTACCCATTGGCTTTATCCTAGTCCATAGCTATGATAGCTATGCACTCACAGAGAAAAGTGTAAAAATTTGGAATCGATTGGGTCATTAGTTTTTGAGTTATCGTGCCCGCCATTCACAAAAGAGAAAACCTCGTTTAAAGTTTGAGAAGCCCTTTAGCCGTCACTTGATGCTGACATAATAAATCGGATATATCTTCAAGAGTTCTTGAGATTTTCTCTTGAAATTTTGTAGGGACATTCTTGAATTGGGGGGGTCCCTTAAATCAAACTGAGATCTAAAGGGCTTTATATACTTCAGTACAACAATTGTTTGATTTGGAAAAAATATATTGAAAAGAAACATTTCTAATACGTTTAATAACAGTTTTTGGAATTATTTTTGTGATATTATTTTAATTAATTCATTGTTGTTTTAATGTCTAATATAAATATACGTATATTCTAATTACTTATATCATAGAAATGTTCCCATGTTTTAATTTCATCAAATAATTTCTTTCCTGGACTTTCGGAACAAATACACTGTTTGTGGCCCATTAATTTAAAATCCTTAGCCAGATGACCGCCATCAACACCTCTATAATAAAATATAAAAAGCACACATCACAATACGATTATCATCGTATACTCGTATACAATTAAAAACTTACATTTGTAGCAATTTCTTACATGCCTCCAATGCCTTTTCAGTCGGTAATTTAAGCATAAAATTTCCAATAAATGCTATACCAATCGATTTTTTGTTATGACGATATGTATGGGCACCGACAATACCCCAACCTCGGCCTTCGTATACATTTCCATCGCATCCAATTAAAAAGTTATATCCTATATCGCCATATTCTAGGCCAATGTGATAAGCCTAAAAATTAATTATGATATATTTACAAAATTAAAAAGATAAATCAACAACAAACCTGTATACTTTGAATAATATTGATATTTGTCAGCTTATCGTTGGAGCTATTCGAAGCAGTATGACCTGTGCGAAAAGATAAATGAAAAAATAACAACATCTACACAAACATATACAGACCTACATATAATAACAAATTCAGTTGGTTCTTCCAAGTAAAGATGCTCCTCTGCAGGTTCTATTGTTGACCAGCAGTTCCGGGTTATTATTAGATCTGACGTATTCGTCGTATCTGTATATAAAAACGTATACATGAGTTAAATGGTCACATTTGAAATACAAAATTTGCCATTACCATTAGTCACGGATTTTAAAATTATATTTTTATTTTCAGTGTCACTGTTTTGCTTTGTTATATTCTCCCTTTTTTGATAGTCGCTATTGTGATCAAGTTTTACTATAAGATCACCTTTAATCTTAACAATGTTACCCACTACCACATTTGAGGAGTTATTTATGCTAATATCGCCAAAGGAAGGCGATGGCAACTGACTAAAAATTCTCTCCAAATTTGTTATATTTTCACTTGCAAGCAATTCGGAAACATTTCTATAATTTCCATCGTCATCTTCGGTAGCTGAAAAATAAAAAAACATACATACATATATAAATTAATTATTTCAATCATTTTAAAATTCAATTTACTTGCTGATTCACAAACACTGGATTCATCTACAGAATCTATAAATGATTCCGTATCACTATGGTCGTTTAACAGCCATTTCTTTGTATTTTCTAAACTCAATGCTAATGTTTCTTGAGAAGAGTAGGATGTCATTTTTTTCTTCTAATATTTTTTTTATTAATCCTTATTTATTGAAAAATTGATCTGCTTTCTGTGATCAAAAAAATGTAATATATATGTTTTCTTAATCAAATTATATGTGACGAAGTAAATGTGCTTCCCCTAAAGGGGAATTTTAAAGTCTGATGCATGTCATTAGCTACGTTACCACTTTTCAAAGAATTTTAATTTAGGGGAAACGTTAAACAATGCTTAATACTTATATTATTTGCCTACATATTTAATTTACCCACTGTACAACATGAAGCTAATTCGTTCATAATTAAAATAATATATAGTCTGTTCCAGTAATTTTTTAATAGTAAAACTAGTAAAAGGGAAACATTTCAAAATTACTGTCAGAGTACAGAATAATTTGAAAAGTTCGGGAATGCAAATCTAGTAAATATGCCAATATTCGAAGGAAATACTTCAAAATCGACATAACAGCCAATCAGAAGTTGGCATTCCTGTTTACCATTTTTACTCGGACAATTTTTTCGAGTAAAAAATTTAAAAGAGAACGCAATTTCGTTTTGTGTTGTCTTAAATTTGGTTCAATGTTTTACCAGTTTTGTGGGTTCAGGAACGGGTTTCGGGTAAAAAGTTGTACAACTTGTAAAATTAGTAGGTTCTGGGACGGAACTAATATTGAAAATGGTGTGAAATAAAGAAGATATTAATGGCTTCTGGGGAGAATATCAATAGTCTTCCCTGCCTTACCCCTTGGTGGACAATGCCATATTTTCCCACAAATAAATAGTTGTTTTTATAAAAACAACAAATTGCGATTCAGTCTGACTATTTTACAAAAACAAAATACAAATGGTAATCCTAATAACCCGCCAACACCACATTTATTTCAATTATAGTGCGAAGTTGTCACAAATAAACTAAAATCTGGCAACCTTGAATACAAATTTCAGTAGTCGCCGCTAATTGTCACGACGGCTCGTTTTTATTTTGTTTATGCCAAGGCCTATACGTTTAGCCAGAGTGATAATATAAAATAAATTAAGAAATATAGTAAAACAATTAATACACATATAAAAAATTAAATAATATTTAAAAAGAAATAATGAGTGAGTCTGAATCGGCACAAGAGTTTCAAGCCTCACGACTAGAAGACAGCAGTAGCGAAGATGACACAGATATGCATGCATCTGTACAGCATCAACAGGAACAGGACGAAGACGAATGTCCCCCGGCCAGCAATGCGGCGGCAGCTAACACGGAATACGATGAAGATGCCTGGAGAGAAGATGCCGATGGTGAATCAGAAAATCCACCAGTTGATGGTAATATGCGAGTGGTTGCGTCCCATTACAATGAACTCAAAGAATCCGGCAGAAAAGAGCGTGTGAAGTCACGTATCTTTCACATGCGAAATTTTAACAACTGGATAAAATCCCAACTAATATCAGAATATTTGAAACGCATCAAAGAGAATCAACGTATGGGTGATCCTATGCGTGTTTTGGACATGTGCTGCGGCAAGGGAGGCGATTTACTCAAATGGGAAAAGGGCATGATAACACACTTGATATGCACAGATATTGCCGAGGTTTCCGTGGAACAGTGTAAGAAACGTTATGACGACATTTTGCGCAGAGCAGAAAAATCAAAATTCGCCCACAAATTTACGGCCGAGTTTTTTGCATGTGACTCGACCCTGGTGCGGCTGCGGGAACGTTTCAAGGATCCATCGTTAAAATTGAATTTGGTTTCGTGTCAATTTGCTTTTCACTACTCCTTTGAGTCGTTGACACAAGCCGATTGTATGGTTCGTAATGCAGCTGAATGTTTGCAACCTGGCGGTTTCTTTATAGCGACAATTCCCGATGCATTTGAAATCATGAAACGTTTACGGGCCTCTGAAAATGGTCGCAGTTTCGGAAATGAAGTATACAATATTGAATTTTGTTCGGATACAAATCCACCACCATTTTTCGGTGCCAAATATCAATTTCATTTAGAAGGTGTTGTCGATTGTCCAGAATTTTTGGTACACTTTCCCACATTGGAGAAATTGTGTCGCAAATATGGTTTAAAATTGGAAAGGAAGACAACATTTGCCGATTACTATAAGGAGAATGCGGAGAAGGGTATGGCAATAAGGAGATATGAAAATGAGATATAAATTTGGATGAATATTTTGTTGTTGTTTGTATATAGGTCGTAATCTGCTACAGCGAATGAATGGATTAGAGACAGTTTATGCAAATCGTGTTGGAAACGATGACCAGTATGAACATATCAAACGTACTGTTAAAGGCAATACAGGAAGACCGTATGGTTCACTTTCGAAATGTGAATGGGAAGCAACAAGTAAGTAGAAATAATAATAAGAAAAATGATACTGTTAAGATTTATGAAGACAACAGAGGTTGCATTGGGATGTCAAATAATTTTGAAAGCAAACGAGCCAAGCACCACGTAGACATAAAACATAATTTCTACAGAGATCACGTCAGAAATGGAACAATACCCGGGAACAATTAGCAGATGTTTTACCAAGTCCATAGATGTTGGACGCTTTTCAAAATTACGTGGTGAACTTGGACAAACGATTGAGAGGGGGTGTTGTGATAATGTTAGGTTTGGGGATGTGCAGTCACAAATGTGGCTGCAGCACTCTGAGACCAACTGGTCCATTGTGATCATCCATAAAAGGTATGGAGAGATCTGTAGAGGAGAAGAAAAGGGGGGATAGAAGAAATGAGAAAAATGAAGAAGCTAAGAAAACAAGAAAGTATGAGGAGTTAGGTAAGTAGTTTCGATGACTATAGAAAATTCGGACAGAAATATTACGTTCTAAGGTTGCACTTTCCCAACCACTTAAGGTTTCTAATGATGTTGTAGATTAAAGCAGGTTCCATAGTTGAATAGAAGCTTAGATATGGTGGAAAGTATGCACCCAGTAGACTGTGACTGGATTTCAGCTTTAGACAGGTTCAACTGTGAGTTTGTTCATTTGGTTGACAGAGTCGGCCAGATAGATCTTGAAACTTTGCACCTAGGTTCGTTGTGCCAGAATTCATTGACTCGTTCGTCGAAGAACGCATCAAAGTTCCGAAAAAAGTGACAGATGGGTGGTTTGATTGAGCCCTCGATTGCTAGATCTGTAGATTGAGGTCGGCGTCTAGCTAATTCGTCAGCATTTTCATTACCCGTGATGTCACAGTGGTACCCAACACAGCCGATAGCTGTATGAAAACTTTCGGGGGTGTTGTGATAAACTATTTTTTATGTTCAATTCAGTTGAATTTACTTTTTTCCTTCAAATAAAACTGTTTAACTAAATTATTCATCCGGTGTAGTTCTATACATAAAAGTATAAGATTAAGTGTGTGCTCGTTTATTTGTTGGTGTGTTTTTTAACAAACTGTTCGATTGTGATTTTTTCAAATTTTGAAACTTTCTCTAAACATAAATAATAAATGTCCCGTTTTCTTCTTTTCAGCCCTCTACCTCGTTTGTGCTTTCCGTAAATGTAAAAATACTTGGGATGCTCAAGGAAGACCTGTGTTCGAGTTTGATTGACCAGTTTCTGGTAAATGCCACCACCACCACTCAAACAAAAACACACAACTATAACAACTAAGCGTTACATCGAAAACAAGCTAAACATTTTTTTTGTTATACAAATAATAAATTACAAAAAGGCAAAAGTGTAATAAGTTTTTAATGTTTTTTTCTTTTTATTAATGAATGCAAGTCAGATCTACCTAATTAAAAAATGGTTTTTATTTCTTAAAAAAACGTTCTATAAGTTGTTTGTTTTTTTCTTTTTCTTTAATTAAAATTAACAAAAAAAATTGACTTATTTTTTAAAAAACGATAGTTTTCGGCAACAATATCAAATTGTGTCATTAAGTAATTTCAAACCGATCTTCTTTTTGTAAAATGGATTTATGGGACTGGGCATGGCGTTAGGTTTCAACAGACCCTTGCCTGGTTTCTTTTTAGCATCATATGGTATATTGGGTGAACTTTTAATTTGCTGTATATATTCGGCAGGATTCTGTGAAGTATTGTGCTTGAGGGCGATTTTGACACGTTTCGTACCACCTGGAGTGCTAGGTGTATTTGCCGTCGACAGCGATAATTTTTTCGAGTTCAACGGTGTTGATTGTTGACTGGCACTAAGACGACTTTTGGCCAAAGGATTCACAACCAAATCGGCATTGGCTTTCTTCAGCTGTAATTTGCGTGATGGTAGAAAATATTCAATTTCACCTTCTCCCAATGGTTCATCCCATTCGTTAAGCGGTGTTGATGTTAACGATTTTTGTGACTTCTTACTTTTGGGTGTGATCTGTTCATCGGGATCGGAAATTTTCAAAACTTTTGGTTCCTTAGGTTTGGCTTTTGGTGTTTCGGGTAAGCCATCGGAAATTTTTAAAACTTTTGTCTGTTTTACAGAAGTATTTGGCGAGCCATTAAATGTTGTGGCGGCGGCGGTGGGTACATTTTTTGATTCATCCTCTTCTTGTTTTGCCTTTTTTGTTTTCTTATTCAGTTTTGCATCTCCACCATTTGCGGCCGCCTTCTCGTTTGTATCATTTTCTTTGACCTTTTTGGATTTTTTATTTTCAATATTTGTTGTTGAGTTATTCTCCTTGCCATTATCGTTTTCTTCTTCTTCTTGAGCAAGACTTTCATTGATTTTCTTGGATTTTTTATTCGATTTCTTTTCACCATTTGTCAAGCTGTTATCCAAACGTTTTAATTTCTTCTGGGGTTCATCATCATCATCACCAGCGACACCATTTTCTGTTCCACCTTGTGCGAGCAGTTTTTGTTTTTTAGTCTTCTTCGTCGTGACCTTTTGGTTGGTATCATCATTTTCTTTTTCTGTAATATTTTCAAGCTTCTTTGCCTTCTTGGGTTTTATATCCGACTCATCCAGTTCTTCTTCCAGCCATCCAGCCATAAATGCCTTTTGAGACTTTTTCCTTCTTTCAACCAAATAGTCCTTTGGCAATGCCTTTTCCAATTTCTGTTCATAATTACTTTCATCGATTTCGTCGTAATTCAAAGACTTCAAAAGCTTTCTACGTTTGCGTTTGGTTAGCTGTTTTAGTTTCCTATCGACTCCATATAATTCATTCTCCAAATTTTCTAATTGCTTGATTTTGTCCTTAATTAGGGGCACCTCTGATTTCTGTTCAAATCTTGGCATTGTCTTAATACCCAATGGGAATTCACCATTTTGGTATGTCTTGAAAGTGTCTACAAGTTTTCTCAGCACCTTGCGGCGTTTTGTGGCACACTCCTCCTTATAGAGGAAGGTTTCCAAATCATTAATAATTGGTGCAGCATCTAAGGGCAATACTGGCATAAATACGTCCACATTACCAGCACGTGGATCTAAGTGTTTGTTTTGATTGTTTTCGTCTTCTTCTACCTCCTCTTGATTTTCATCCTCGTTTTCTTCTTCGTCGGCATTTTCTTCTTCCGAGTCCTCACACTTTTCCAAATCATCAATGTGTTTGGTGGGGAAACCCATTTCTTTCCAGGCATTGTACTTGTCCGAGTATTCCCTACCCAGATCACTTTGGTATAGCAAATGATAGAACACCCTGGTACGGCAATGTGAAATTAGCTGGTAGTCCTTCTGAGTGGTGGTGAACGCAACAAATGGCTTCACAAAAAGTGCCACTTGCTCTGCCGAAATATCGCCCTCGGAGACCTTGGCCAATTCCTCAAAGAAAATATCCAAATAATGCATGGTCAAACCTTTGGCCGTCACATTTTCGAATAAAACCGTTTCGGTGGCATGTTTATTGAATATTTCCACGGCTTCTTTGCCCCATTTGCTGGCTTTCAATATTTTGAACATATAACGCAGCATACGACGGGTCAACATCATAAATTTATCAATGCGCCACTGATCTATGCCAAACCAATGAATACACATTGTGCTGAGGAAAGCACCAAAGAAATTCACACTCAACTCCAAGTTGCCCTCGAAGCACTCCAGCAGTTTGCCATACTGTTCGGCCAGATCTTCCTGCACCAACGGCTTATCGGAATACCACATATTATAGTAGAGACCTTTCCAAATTCTCATGAAATCTTCCTGTTGGAAGGGGAAGGATGATTGGGCGCGTAGCTGCAACCATTTGCGCAACTTTTTCATTTGCTTATTCCTTTTGTTCAGATCGTTGCATGCTAGGGATTTGACAATTTTCACTTCTTGAGCAATAATTTTGATTTCTTTTTGCATTTCATCCTGTTGTTCGGCATTTTCTCCGGCACCGCCTTCATCGTCCGATTGCAATTCTCCATCATCGATTTGTTCGGCATTGAACAGTTCACGTTTAGGTTTTTTAACCTGGCTCATTACTACCATTATTTTTTGGACTGGGCCAGTTAATATGTAAATATATTTTTATTTATACGAAAAAAAAAAACAAGGAGTTTTATTTAGACACGGCTACTAACACGTGTTCTACACCACACAAAAAATCAATACAATAAAAATCTGTTAAAAGTTGGGTATTTACGATGAAGAGTTGCCACAGCTGACAAAATGCTCAATGCAGGGCAGACAAAATCGAAGATATTTTTTACAGAATTGACATTTTATATTGTTTTCGATTTTCCATTTATAAATTTGAAAAGTTTGATGACGGCAATATACAAATTAAACAATTTTAAAGTGTTAACCTCTTTATAACACATCTTCAAAGTTTACACAGCATTAAAAAAATATTATTGAAAACAAAGTATGTCTTAGGACGAACCTGTTGAAATGTGCGAAAATCGATTTAGATTTTTATGTAACTACCATATAAAGTTTCACTTTGTTTATTCGATTTATACGAAAATTTCATATTGAATTGATTTCAAAATGGCATGTGTTAAGGTTTGTAAAATCGGTTCAGAATTAGGTATACTTTAGCGACTATATATCACCAGTCCTGAGATTTGACGATGTAGAAGACGTTATCCCTAGTAGAGACGACTGGAAACGTAGCAATCCTCATCTGGCTTTCTATACAGACGGATCCAAAATTGAAGAAGGTACGGGGGCAGGTGTCTACTGTGAAAGGCTAAGCCTTGAGCTTTTTGGGTACAAGGACACTGTGACATCACGGGTAAATTTATAGAAATCTTTTAACCAGTTTTGGTATACATATTTAAAAACACTACTTTTTTGAAACACTGTGCACGAATCTCTTGTTCGGCTACCACATTTCAATAAACAACAAAAATCAGCTGTTTATTTTGGAATACTTCACAAGCCACGTTTGTTTATTACTTCTTATGTTATTCAAATAAAATTAATGATTTCATCAATTAAATTATTGAAATCAATACAAGTGCAATTGAAAACTAAACGATTTTTTAACATTGGAATCTCCATGGCCTGCAGTCGATATGAATATGTCAAGGATTATGAGAAAGATGACAGTATACTACCGAATGTTTGGATTGTGATTCGTGTTGATGGTAAAGGTTTTCACAAGTTCTCCAAGGTGCATGATTTTGAGAAACCAAATGATTCAAATGGTAAGTCCTGACCTATTTTTTTGTCTCATTACTTTTATTAAAAAAAAAACATTATTCTTTCAGCCTTGAATTTAATGAACAATGCCGCTCAAACGGTTATGGAAGAATTTCGTGATATTATTTTATCCTATGGACAAAGTGATGAATATTCATTTGTATTTCGCAAGGAGGCAGACGTGTTCAATCGAAGATCTTCTAAACTGTTGTCGTATGTAACGAGTTTGTTCACCTCGTCGTATGTCATGAACTGGCCCAATTGGATGGGTGACAAAACGCTTCAATATCCACCATGTTTTGATGGCCGAGTTGTACTATATCCGTCCGATCAAAATCTTAGAGATTATTTGAGTTGGCGACAGGCAGATGTACACATTAACAATTTGTATAATACAGCATTTTGGAATTTAGTATTAAAGGCTGGTTTAACTAATCAGCAGGCGGAAGCAGAATTAAGGGGTACATTTTCGGCAGATAAAAATGAATTACTATTTTCGCGATTTGGTATAAATTACAATAGTCTACCAGCTATGTACCGCAAAGGTACAATTTTGTTAAGAAAAAAGGTGTCCATAAATGATGACAACGCTAAAAGACAATTAATAGTACCCATACACGATGATCTAATAAGGGAGAAGTTTTGGAAGACACACAGTGAACTGTTGGGAAAATATAAACCTGGCGATTATGACAATGTGGAAAGCAGCGAAACAAAAAATTATCCTGAATTGATTGCAAGACAAATAGAAAAAATAATGTTAAATGTTAAAGAAAGCTAGCATAGTTTAACCATTTTATAAATAAATAATTTAAAGTGTGTGTTCGTTTCATTGAAATATGAATCTGTTTAATTTTTACATCTTAAGGTATGTAATCACAACAACAAAGAAATCATTTGTATCCCTGACAATGAATGACACACCAACTGTTATTTATTTACAAAATTAAGACTTTATTGAAATGACCTCTTTACAACTTAGTAAAATGTGATTTCTACATAATCGTTCGTTCTCTTATATCAAAAACATTTTTTTCGTAAATTTATTTAAAAAAAATATAGTAAATCTACTTCTTAGTATTAGTCATTCTTAATGGTAGACGTACTCTCTAATAATCATCATCGTCCCCCTCATCATAATCATCGTGCATTGATCGACTTTGTTGTACCGACGATGCTTGCAGACTCATCCATTGCTGCTGCTCCTCTTGAGCTTGTTCTTCGCGTGCCTTTGCAAATAGTTCTTGCTGTTGTCTCAGTAACTCCTCCTCGGGTATGCCCAAATTTTCAAGACGCGTACTCTGGCGACGACGTTTTGCTGCAACTTCTTTACAATCGTTCAGCACTGCTTCAGCTTCTTGTTTATAATCTTTGAATCCCAAGCGATCCAATGCTTCGAGAACATGTTCAGCATTTATTGTTTTCTTATTTCGAACATTACACACTTCATTGGCTTCGGAACTAATAAGATGTATAAATTCCGAACAACAATTCAGTAGAAGTTCTCGACTTTCGTTGGCGACACGTACAGACGGAACCAATTCTTTGATTATTTTGTTGATGCTGGCACGTGGTAATGTTAATTCATCATCTTCCGATGGAGGTGGACACAATTCATCTTGGGGATTGCTCATATTAGGATAAATAAATTGAAAACCTTATTTGTATTCTTATAGAATTTTCTAAGTTTCCAAACAAATAAATCAACTGAAATGTTTACATATATGCTTCTTGATTATAGCATAGGATTTAATCGATTTATCGATAAGTCTAAAATCGATTAAAATTTTTTTGCGATATAAGGTTAAGGGTGCTATACACTCACCGTTATTTTGTGTAAATAAACATGTTAATCATCCAATTTAATATTTTTGTTTCAGAATCTAATTTGAAATGACTTCTAATTTCAAATATAATATAGTAAAAAATCGTAGATTCTTGCAGTACGGGAACATATCATTATTTCCAGAAGAACGCAGTAAAAATCATTTGCATTTCAATCTGAATATATTTCAGTTGAATTTCAATTTATTTGACATGGTATTCAAATAAATACATACACAAATTATTAGTATGTTCCCAATCTACAAGAATCTACAAGATTTTACTATTTTCTTCGTTATTATAAAGGAAAATACTTAATCGAAGTAAAAAATGATAAGACCATATGTTTTTTTTTTATTTTATAGAACAGCCTCCGTTGAGGAAAAATTGTAATCAGATGTTAGGTATGCCCTACTTTGTAAAAATTATACCATGGCTTAACCCAATATTTATACCAAATATATGGTCCGTTCCATTGCAATAATCTTTATGGAATTTATATATCAATTTCAAATAAAATTAAATATAAATTCCATAAAATGTTACGCATGACGATTGGCAAAGTCAACAAATTAAAAAAAATATTTTTTCTTAAGCTCACATTGTTCTCAAGATTTAACAAAGAATGTTGCAATTTATATTTATAGGTTTTATAGGCAGGGAGTGTTTTGCCACAGGACACAAGATGTGCGTACATTTCGAAGGAAGTTATTTTCATTTAAATTTTGAAAGCGGAATGTTGTCAAAAGCAAATTTATGAAAAAATTGGACACATATGACTGCATGAGACTACCTTGTATAGTTATGCCATGCGTGCACAGCTGGAATAATTTTTATTTATTTGAATTTTGCCTCTATGGTAATGTGACCATACGTCACTCTTTTTTAGAGGACAATCATCTATTTGAACTGGCTGTCATCTGTTAAATCTGTGTCCTCTGTCATATTTTTCTATAATCTGCCGTCATTGTCATCTATATATTTATAAAACATTCATAATAGTTCTAATTGAGTAACAAATTTCCCTATAATTATTATTAATTATTACAACGTTATACGGCATTTACATTAGAACTTTTTACAGGGTTAACCTACTTTATGAGGATTTATTTGGTATATATTCAAAGGAATTGAAAATTTAAACCCACTCGATTTAACCAAATCCGGTTCAATGTAAACGACCTTTTACCTAAATTGCAACGAGGCGTATAAAAATTTTCATTTTCCCACTATGGCAAATGTTTTGTACGGCCGTATTACCCAAATACGTCAAATCCATACCACCTAGCGAACTAAAATAAATCGCGAAACTAAATTAAAAAATTATAAAATCTGTGCAAATATTTCACATTCTTATTGAACATTTTATAACTTCTTTTTGATTTGTTTTTATTTTCAACAAAAGAGAAAAATAAAACTATGTTCTTTAATAGTTGAATTTTTCCAACTTTGAAAATTCGTATGTAAAGGTACGTTTAGATTTACGAGATCCACTCGATCTCAAATGTCATTTCCATTACTTATACGTCAAATATAATCCACTGGATTTTTGAACAGGATTAACGTGAAGTATACACAATGGAATTGACATTTGTGAACGAGTGGATTTTGTAGTCTAAACGTAGTAGTCTAAAAGCGGATTTCGTAAATCTAAACGTACCTTAAGTAAATCCAATTGTATGTTTTATGCAAATACTATTAATTTTATTAAAAATATATATTTTTTACTTTTTGTCATCTATTTTAATTTTCAAAGTCTGGTCCCCTTACGTAAGGGCGATGCTTGTTTAAATGATTGTTATGTGTGTTTTTCTCTTTCGAGCCGAGGTTATTGGAAGAAGTTTTCTAATGAAAAGGAAACCCAGAAAAAATCGATAACATTTTTGTTTTTCGTAAAATGTTCTATTTGCAGTAATTCTATGTTTAGTATAAATTAATCTCTTCCATAACCTTCAAGAATATACAAATTTGTACTACAATAACTATTTTTCACTTATGAGATCGGAAAAAATAAAAATAAAAGATTCTTGCAGTATGGGAACATAACCACAATTTTCGAAATCGCTCAGGATTACATTAAAAAACATACACATAGACTCCTGCATAATTTAATGGTTTGATAATTAATACATAAAAATAAATACTCCTTCATCGGTACGGTGTCCAACAAAAATAAACAAATTATTCAAAAAACAAACACACCTATTGTAAAAAACTATGAAATCACTACGTCTATTACGTCGCCTTTACGTTCTACTCTTATTTTGGCAGCCAAGTGCAATGCTGTGCAATCGTTCATGAAAAACGTCAAAATACACAGCTGTAACAGAAGGTATTTTTAGTTTTAGTAGTAAATATTTCGAGTTTCGTTTATTATAACATCTTAATGTAAGTTCTATTTATTCGTAAGTAAATCATTTTTTTTGTTTTCCTATTTTATGCATAGAAACAATGTCTACATTCAATATTAAATTCAGAACATTTCACTTCCATAAACACACTTCACCGTTAGCCGGCTTGACATTTGACAGCAGATATTTTGCAAATTTTTTTTATTTGCCAAAAATATCATCTCTGACATTACCACCTATCTGACTTACATAAGAGTAGCCTCTGTCAGTGTGTCAGTCGTGTCGTGAAAAATTCTGGTAAAAAAAATTCCAATCGGTGTTTTGCATAATCAAAGAATTTTTTTTGTGTGTGTTTGGAAAAGAAAATTATCTAATTGAGTGAATTTAATTTTGTTTTATTGCATTTCAGCATACCACACGGAACCTTCGAGCGATTAACAAAATGTTTTCCCAACGTGCTGCAACTTTATTGGTCCCTTTGGCCGTTGAGGCTACTTTGCAGGCCCAGCAACAGCGTGGTATGGCCACTTTGAAAGCCATTTCCATTCGCTTGAAGTCCGTTAAGAACATTCAGAAGATTACGCAATCCATGAAGATGGTATCAGCTGCCAAGTACTCGCGTGCTGAACGTGACTTGAAGGCTGCTCGCCCCTATGGTCTGGGTGCCCAACAGTTCTTCGAGAAGACCGAAATCCAATCGGACGATAAGGCCGAACAAAAGAAATTGTTCATTGCCATGACCTCTGATCGTGGTTTGTGCGGCGCTGTCCATACCGGTGTTGCTCGTTTCATCCGTAACGAAATGATGAAGGACTCCTCCAACACCAAGATCATCTGTGTCGGTGACAAGTCCCGTTCCATTTTGTCCCGTCTCTATGGCAAGGACATTTTGTTCGTCGCCAATGAAGTTGGCCGTTTGCCACCCACCTTCATTGATGCTTCTCGCATCGCTCATGAAGTTATGAAGTGCGGTTATGACTTCACCGAAGGCAGCATCGTCTACAACCGTTTCAAGTCCGTTGTGTCGTACCAATGCTCCACACTGCCCATCTTCAGCTCAAACACAGTCGAAAAGTCCGACAAATTGGCTGTCTACGACTCCTTGGATGCCGATGTCATCCAAAGCTATTTGGAATATTCCCTTGCTTCCCTCATCTTCTACACCATGAAGGAGAGCGCCTGCTCCGAGCAATCGTCCCGTATGACTGCTATGGACAACGCTTCCAAGAACGCCGGTGAAATGATTGAGAAGTTGACATTGACATTCAACCGTACCAGACAGGCTGTCATTACCCGTGAATTGATTGAAATTATCTCTGGTGCTGCTGCCTTGGATTAAACATCCAATATTGCTGTTACTAGCCAGCCTTAGGCATAATAATAATACAAATACAATTCGAAGAAAAATCCACAAAACATAATTTTAAACGAATTCCAAATTCGAAAATTACCATTCAGTACCGAAACATTGATCGCCCATGATGATGGCGCTATCATGTTATGGTTAATTACAAATAAATGAAGTTATATTCACATGAAAAACAAACAATAAGAAAATATACTTGAGTTATCACCACGTAAAGTTTAAATAAATGTACTGATGAAATGTGTAATACACGATAAAGAAAAACAACAACAATAATTTAAATTTGCATTATTTTCAATTGTGTGGCAAGAGGAAAATGCAAGATGTGGTAGGGTATTATTATCAGTGTCCCTATTTTATCTAAGTGCATAATTTTTGGCGGTCTATCTGCTGGTGGTGGGTAGTATTTAATGTTTAATCTAAACAAATTGAAATTGTGTTATAAGTGACATTATTATTATATAAGACATGCCGATATAATGGGATAGTATATTGTGTTTTATTAGTGTTATTAATTTTTCGCTCAAAAGTTCCAATTAATACAAATTGTATTTTATAAAATCCATCAGATTTTTTTAAAACATGAAAGTAATGTCGGGACTTAAGTTATAATGTAGTTATATCCCATGATTGGAATTTTTTATCAAAATATGATAATGTGTGAAGTAAGAACTCCCAATGGAATTTATCTTAATTTGTATACCCCTTACTAGAGGGTGGCATGAAAAAGACTGAAGGATTAAAAATGGTTATATCTTTTTTTATTTTTAATAATTTTTTTGTCTCTTGTGGGTTATTTACTGGTTTTTGGAGATAAATCATGGCTGCATATGTTTAGAAACGCGTCAAAAACATTTTATTTTTTTATTCTTCTGGAAGGTCAATTATTACAACTCAACTAAATTATCGTTGTCATTTTAATGTCCGAACAGCACCCAGTCACAACATGATTAGGAACTTAGTCTCCCGTTTTGAGGAACATGGAAGAGTGTTAGATCTTCCAGGAAGAGGAAGAGGTCGATCTCTGCGCAATGAAGCAGTTGTGGAGACTGTACGACAGAGTGTAAACGAAGATCTCTACTCGTCGTCGTTGTACTCAATTGGGAATCTATTTCTATTTACTTCAATTTTAACATGTATATCCAGATAATCTCCAGAACATCCCTGCAAAGAATTTTGAAGGGGGAACTCAAATTGTTTCCGTATAAAATTCAAATGGTACAGCAACTGCTCCCCCAAGACCATCAGGCACGCCTGCAATATGCTATTCAAAAAATTTACTGAAATTTTGATTTTGCTTGGCCTCCACGTTCACCAGATTTACCCAGACTTTTTTGTGGCGCTATTTGAAGGGAGTTGTGTTTATCAATAAACCGCAAACAATTCAGGAGCTTAAGCACAACCTTCAAGCAGAAATAAGCAACTTGGAACCAGAAACTCTACGGGCAGTAATGGAAATTGCTGTTAAAAGAGCCAATTTTATTTGCAAGAAAATTTATGCTATTTGAGAGATGTTATATTTCACACTTAAATGTAAAAAAATTCCATGAATTAAATATTTAAAAACATAAAAAAAATCTATAAAAAAAAACTAAAAAAATATAGCCCTTTTTGGACCACCCTGTATAAAGGGGAAATGTTCACCGGAGTCTTCAAAAGTTGTATCGGAATAAAATTCAAGGTCGATTTATCGCCATGTCATATTGCAACATTTAAAACAGAATTTTGGACATATTATATTACTCATAGGATTTTTGGTATTAAAAACCTGCATAACACTACCGTTGAATAACAGAATGGAACAACAAAGTAAATAAAAATGGTCTTATTGTCGGAACTTTTGGAATCCCAATCCCCGTTAGTATAAAACTCCTCTCCCTGTGATAAACATTTTTCTGAGAGGTGTCAATCAAATAAAATTGACGCGTTTCGTGCAACTCGAAAGATATATAGGGACTTTGGTGTACCATTTAAAATATATGGGAGCTATATCTAAATCTTAGCACATATCATTCTAGACTCGATTCAGTACACTATGCCAAATTTCGTGCAAATAGAAAGAAATATAGGGGCTTTGGTACACTATTTACATAAAATCGGACCAATATATATATGGGACCTATATCTAAGTCTCAACTGATTTTCACGAAACTTAGCACACATCATTCTAGAGTCAATTCGGTATGCTATACCAAATTTCGTGCAAATCGAAAGAAATACAGCGACTTTACATTAAATCGGATGAAAATATATATGGGAGCTATATCTAAATCTCGAAACTCGAAAGATTTATATGGGACCTATATCTAAATCCGATCATTCTAGACTCGATTCAGTACGCTTTACCAAAATTCGTGCAAATCGAAAGAAATATAGGGGATTTGGTACACCATTAACATGAAATCGGACGAAAATATATATGGTAGCTATATCTAAATCTGAACCGATTTTCACGGAACTTAGCACACATCATTCTAGACACAATTTAGTACCCTATGCCAAATTTTGTGTAAATCGAAATGTAATGCATCATTTACATTAAATCGAACGAAAATATATATGGGAGCTATATCTAAATCTGAACAGATTTTTCTCAATTTCGATAGGGTTCGTCTTTGGAGTGGACCAACGGGTCCATACCATTTTGTGAGGGAGGTATCACGAGGAGCGGACAGATATTCCACATCTTCAAACTTCATGAAGGTTTGGAAGAAATATTAAGATGTGCAAAGTTTGAATGAAACCACGAAATGGATAACCCTGTACTTACCTTCTTCTTCATATATCATTGTATTAGAGTTAGCCTTTCCACGGGGCTTAGTTGTAAAATAGATCGAATAAAAATGTTCCAAAAATTGTCTCATTTATACTGACTATCAAAATAGAAAATCAAATCGAACTTTCCCAAACATGCATAATAAAACACAAGCATTTTAAAACAGTCTATCGATACTTTTGCGTATATTGAAAATAAAAAACACATGATATTAATTATTTTTTCAAGTCCAGTTGGCATTATAAAAAGTTGGATTTATGTTTTTTGTTTTATTTTCTTAAAATTACTACTAGGAATATACATAGTATGGAACAAATTATAACACACACAGGAAAAAATATATATATTTAAATGATAGTGGACAGACATTTGAAGAAAATGGAAACATAATATGCCTAATGTATCAAACAAAAAAAATCTTCAAACAATATAAGGATTACAGTAAGGTAGGTAATAGAAGTCATAACGTTGGGGGCGGGGTCAGGAAATATGAGCAATTTACAATCGCTAAATCAAATCGTTTGTTTTTGTTATACTGTAATTTTTTAATATTTTTTTGTTTGTTTTTGTGCCACATTGCAATAAATTGTACAGTTGAAATTGTTGTTTTTGTATTTTAATATTTTTTATATCATTTTTATTGAATTTTATTCCCATTTTATGGTTTGTTTTGTAAAAAAAAATTAAATAATTTGTAGAATCTTTTTTTTTGTAGGTCAAATTCAAACTTTTAAACAAATACAAACACAACAGAATACAATAAAATTATTAAAAAAATATATTTATATATAAAAACTGAGTGAATTTTTCGTCGTGTTTATAAGTTTTTTTTCCTTCCTCTTCGTACCTCTTCTTCTTGTTCTTTTTTACCATAGAGCTCAAAAACCAATTAAAATTAAAAAAATAATCATAAATGGTATACAATTAAAGAAGAATTTTTTGTGGATGATGCACATGGTGGTTGGGGGGTGGTGGTTTTATTGTATAAAATTTGTTTGTTGCTTTGTCATCGTCATCATCATCTACCATTTCTTTTTATGTTCATCCATAGATACACCACCGGGACCCAATGACACAATCATCAATAAACCACCAATAACTGATAGGGTCTGCAAAACAAAAATATTTTTTTGTGAGTTTTTTAGTTTTTAATATCGCGGTCTATGGATAACTTACCTGGAAGAAGTCATATTTAAGAAAATCTCTGAGAGGTTTGTACGAGGGAATGGTCCACCACGCGTTATGGTACAAATTTAAGATAGTCAAGAGGGCAACCAAAATTAAGGCAGACAATTTTGTTTTGTAACCAATTGTTACCAAAACCATCAGGATTGAACCAACAATATCTTGAAGGATCTGAAAAGAATATAAGAAAACAAATAATTAATAAGAGAATACTAGAAATAAGAGCCACCACAAGGCGTGGATTTTTTAAAGAATATTTTTTCAAGGACCAACACAAGGCGTGGATTTTTTAAAAAATATTTATTTAAGAACCAACACAGAACGTGGATTTTTTAAAGAATATTTTTTCAAGGACCAACACAAGGCGTGGACTTTTTTTAAAGAATATTTTTTCAAGGACAAACACAAGGCAAGGACTTTTTAAAGAATATTTTTTCAAGGACCAACACAAGGCATGGATTTTTTAAAGAATATTTTTTCAAGGACCAACACAAGGCATGGATTTTTTAAAGAATATTTTTTCAAGGACCAAATTTTCCACTTACTTGCAAGAAACTTAATTCGAAACGAATCAATGTAATAAACATAAATGCAAGCAAAATACGTCCAGCGAGTTGCATAACATTTTTCGGTTTATTGTCACCCAATGTGGGTACACCAGCAAATAGACTACGTCCTTCGACACGTGATTCAGCCAATACCAGGAGTAGTGCACCAATTAAAGCTAAATTACGCAACAAGAATTGAATGTCCCACAGAATAGAGTAGGCAATTGTCTGGCAAGGATAGAACAGAGAGAGAAAAATTATCAGTAAAAATTATATATTTAAATATAATATTAAAACAAAGTAGCTCACCTGCAATACAACGATAAAGAATAGAACACCAACAGCAATGTCAACCTTAAATCTAGCAATGACCATACCGCAGCCTCCCAGTTGTCCAATTAAATTAACTAATACAAATACAGTAGCCAAAAATTTGCCACAACCCCAGCTCATATCCATATATTCGCGTTGTTCATTCCATTGGAAGTACATACGAAGACCATCTTCAAAGAATGTGGCAATCAAACACAGG